ATGAAGTAATTACTTAGTTCCCCATACAAAATTGTCTGAGCGAACACCGACTTTTGTACGTTGTTCAATTCGAATCACTCTCTGAATCACCAAGAGTTTCGTCCCATCTCTAACAATTGAGAGAATTTATCGAAAATAAATTAATTTTGACAGCATAAAAAAAAATTTCAAACATTTTCAGTAAAATTGAAAATGATGAATGAAAAGTAACCAAAATTCTAGTTTTTATATATTTGCAGAAGGATGTAAATTTTGTTGTCTACATAATGCAATATGCATTTCTTTCCCCTTGGTTCAAATTAGCGTACAAAACGAGAAACAAAAGTGGGGAAACCCAAACAAAAATTCTTCAATTTTTTAAATGTGACATTTGAGTTGAGAAAATATTAAAATGTATTGAAAACAACAATATTTTCAATATTTAGAAGGTAACCTTATCAAGGCAGCTGATGGTAACATTATATGTCATAGCAATTTGTTGTTGTTTGTCCCAATTTATATTAGGCGAGTTTAATTGCGGCAAGTCTTTGTTTGAAGGAGAGAGGGGCAAGGGGAATAGAACTTGAAAAAAATTGCTCGTACCGACAATTTTCTGGCAATTCGTTTTGTGAATTTTGTTTGTAGTATCAGTAATTTAAAATACCAATCCAGAACATTGTCAAAAAAAAAAAAAATATTTTTGAAATCGAATTGCCTTGTATAGAGGAATGAAGCAAGTTCAAAAGAGAACGATAAAAGTTGCCGCAAGTAAACTCGCCTAATATAAATCAGGATTTTTTTCAAACCCTATTTTAAATGAAAATTGTAAATACTTTTGGATATAAAGAACAAAAAGATAGAAAATAAAAGGCATAGCGGAAGGCTACCAATACAATCACAGTTCTGTGTTCGAACTCAACATTATTCTCGACATCGAACATGTCGTATGCTTGGTAATGCATTAACATATAGGATCTGTACTGAGAGAGCGAAAATTACTCTCCCAACGGATCTATGCGTGTGTCCAACACAATCATAGCAGTTTGCATATGTGTTGTTGGCTAAGCCTGTATTATAGTCAGGAGAAAGAGAATTATTTTTTCTATTTAGATCAGGCTTAGCCAACAACACATATGCAAACTGCTATGATTGTGTTGGACACACGCATAGATCCGTTGGGAGAGTAATTTTCGCTCTCTCAGTACAGATCGTATATGTTAATGCATTACCAAGCATACGACATGTTCGATGTCGAGAATAATGTTGAGTTCGAACACAGAACTGTGATTGTATTGGTACTCTCCCAAACCGCCCGTGAGCGCCTGTTTGGTGAACAGTGCTATAATATCAACCCCTATCTCAAGGTAGATATATAAGGAAGCCGCATCGGCGAAATGGGAACATGATATGCCAAAATTGTTAACAAGGCGAATAATATTAATAGGTGTGTCTGGTTACTTTTCCAGTAACATTTATTCAGTAAGTTCTAGTTCAGAGAGTAAGCCTTTCTTACTCTCTTTTCGATAATACTGAAAAAAGTAAACAGACAACATTTAGTAAGATTTAGCAAATAAACAGCTGATTCAAGAAAACATTTGATTTGCGCCAACATAAATAACAATCAAAGGACGAACACAATTATTTGTATTGCATTTAATATTAAATATAAAATGAATAATAAAAGAAAAATTGATCTGGTATGTTCCCGGGAACATTTAAGGTCCCTGCATCAATACATTGCTCTCTATCTGGAACTTGCCTAAAAATATATAAGGAATTAGTTTCTAATTTAATGAAACTTTGCATTACTTACGAATTTTCTTCCATTTTCTGTAATTAACTTCAAATTGAACCTTGAAAAAAAAATGGTTTTAAATAATTTTTGTGTTTGGTCAGAAAACAGCTGATCAGAAAATGGCTGAGTTGCAAAATCTTACTGAATAAAATTCTTTCAGTAAACTCCATCAACTTTGTTGTTGTTCAACTGTCAAACTTGCTCTCTCACTTGACTCTCTTTTACTGGATTTTTGTGTAAAAAGACAACATTGAGTAACATATGGTAACAATTGTTACAAAATATCGTGTTAACAGACAGAGCTAATTTCCCCATGACATACAAAACTCGAAGCAAATTAAATTCAACCAATCAGAATTAAGTATTTTGAAAAATATTTGTTTACTTTTTGAACAATTTTAAAAGATACATCAAATTTAAAAGATACATCAAAAGTACGCCTTAAATGTAATCGTATGTATGGAGATATAACAAGATTTGGACTATTTTTTCCGTAGTGTTTGTATGCCCTCTCATGAAATTTGAAAAGCAATATTATACAAAGGAGAAAAAAGGGCCATCGTACCAAATCTTCTTTTCGATTCCAAGGCCTTCCGCTATGCCTTATATTTTCTGTCTTTTTGTTCTTTATATCCAAAAGTATTTACAATTTTCATTTAAAATAGGGTCTGAAAAAAAATCCTGATTTATATTAGTTATCGTTCTCTTTTGAACTTGCTTCATTCCTCTATACAAGGCAATTCGATTTCAAAAATATTTTTTTTTTTTTTGACAATGTTCTGGATTGGTATTTTAAATTACTGATACTACAAACAAAATTCACAAAACGAATTGCCAGAAAATTGTCGGTACGAGCAATTTTTTTCAAGTTCTATTCCCCTTGCCCCTCTCTCCTTCAAACAAAGACTTGCCGCAATTAAACTCGCCTAATATAAATTGGGACAAACAACAACAAATTGCTATGACATATAATGTTACCATCAGCTGCCTTGATAAGGTTACCTTCTAAATATACCTTGCCCTCTCTCTTTACTTTTAATTCATGTTTTCCATTTTTTTTGAAAATATTGTTGTTTTCAATACATTTTTATATTTTCTCAACTCAAATGTCACATTTAAAAAATTGAAGAATTTTTGTTTGGGTTTCCCCACTTTTGTTTCTCGTTTTGTACGCTAATTTGAACCAAAGGGAAAGAAATGCATATTGCATTATGTAGACAACAAAATTTACATCCTTCTGCAAATATATAAAAACTAGAATTTTGGTTACTTTTCATTCATTATTTTCAATTTTACTGAAAAAGTTTGAAAATTTTAAAAATTTTTTCATGCTGTCAAAATTAATTTATTTTCGATAAATTCTCTCAATTGTTAGAGATGGGACAAAACTCTTGGTGATTCAGAGAGAGATTAGAATTGAACAACGTACAAAAGTCGGCGTTCGCTCAGACAATTTTGTATGGGGAACTAAGTAATTACTTCATAATTAAGGGTCGGACAACGAATGAGAGAGCGAACAACGCTCGTCTGTACATGGGATTAAATACATGTATTTAACTTTTGAGGTGAATAAATTCGTACGCATACGCATGAATTTAGGTACGACCCTTATAACTGAAAAAAATCATTTGTCCTGTTCCTGAATATACATTTAAAAAACGGGAACAAACCAATTATTTTCAATAGTTTCTGCACGCAAAAACAACAAAAATAATAATTACATGGTGAACAGTGATTTAGATCAATATGTGATTCACGCAAATATGTTACAATTTTGGTGTAAAACAAGAAACAAAATGTTTGAAATAAAAAAACTCTGATGACATGAATTAAGAATAGTGCTGTATGAACGGGTTAATTCATGTACGTAATTCTGAGAGCGAACTACGTTGTTCGAATGACCGTCAGAACATGGCATAAATGAATGTTACCAAAATACGCATTGCGCATAAAAATATAAAGTTGACAAATTTCAACATTGACAATGCGTATTTTGAATTTTTTGTTTTTTGAAAATAGAATTCCAGTCATTGAAAGATTTGTTTTTCTATAAATGAAAACATTTTTCGATCAATTAAAAAAATGTTTTCATCCATTTTTGCGATTTTCAATTGGCACAGATGCACATAAAGTTCTTGCGTATTTGGGTAATACGGACGTCTTACAAACCCTATAAAGGTGAGAAGGTGAGTATTTTTGTACGGAGCGCAATAAATTAGGCACGACCCTAAAACATTGGATATAAAACCGCATTTACGTTAGAACTTTTTACCGTGTTAATCTACTTTATGAGGATTTATTTGACATGTATACAATGGAATTGACAATTGAAACCCACTGGGTTACCGGAATCCGGTACAATGTAAACGTACTATAAAAATCTCACATTTCGTTTTATAACAAAAACAAATGAAAAAAAAAGAAAATTCTATCACTAACAGATGTTTATGTTCCATAGACAATTTTATTAAAATATTTCTTTTATTTAAAAATAATAATAATATAGAACAAAATGAAAACATAAATATTTGTAAGTATATAATTTTTACTTCTAAATGTATCCATATGTAACTATGCATACATGCAAGTGCACGAATTTAGACAACAGCATGCACTTAAACTAGATTCTCTAACTGTTAATATTTATTGTGTTTTGCTTAATGCATTCTCCAAGAAATGCGTGCGCATGTGTGTGTGCACTATATTCACTTTTAATCCATGGAAGACAATATTCAGTTCACTACAAATTGCCACTTATTAATTAGAAAACTTACGAAAACGTAGAATATAATACACATATTAAATAACATCTAACATACTTAAGGTTCGTTGATAGATTCCATAACAAATCCAGAAGTGTACATCACACTTCTTTATTCATCACCAATCAAGTCTTTATATCTATATTATTACAAATATGAATATATGTAATTATTGTGGTTGCGATTATTATCGAGAAGAAGGAAAAAACAAAATGCTCTGATTATATCTGTGTAAAGTTATTGAAAATAAATAATTTCATTGCTGTTCACTAGAATTTTTTTCCATCATAGTAATACCGACGTACACCGTTTAAAGCACGAAACAGTCACAGTGGACATATTCCAATGCACCTGTCACTGCAATCATGGATATTACGGATGATGATTCGGTCAACAGGTTTGTTAGATATGTGTATTGAATGAATGTATTATCATTTGTGATTTATTGAAGTTATCCGTCGTCCTTAGTAGTTGTATGGACCATATTGCGACCCATGGTAATACGGACCAGCGGCAAACATTTGAGGCTGAGGATAGTTGGCGTAGGGTGGATAAGGAGGTTGTTTTTGTGAATATACTGCAAAAGAAAAAATAAATTAATATGGTTCAAAAACATATACATAATTATATATCACTTATTTGTATACATACACGCAAAACATGTGTTATATACTATATTGTATTTTTTTAATTGCTATTCAGAAATTATCATATTGATTGCTAATTTGAAAGAGGTGCAATAAATCACATACATGATACATTTTATACATGAAAAAATATATAAGTCTTATCAATGCATGTTTATTTGTTTAAAAAAATATGAAGCTTGGTCAACTGGAAACGTGTTATTTGTACAGGAATTAAAGTCCAACCGTTCCCAATCCGTAGGTTTGCCATTGTTGTATGGAGTTTAACTAGTGGGACCTTGGACCGATGCATAAACTAATACATACTATAAATTTGAGTAGTTTTGTGATCCAAGATACACTTGGAGAGAGGATATCTTGAAGAGCGCATTTTTATAAATTGATAAGTAATGTTTCGGATTTTAACTTTAAAAGCTTAAAGTAAAAACGTGCACTCATTTCTGCAATTATAATAGGAATGGTTTGTGCAGTAGTTTGTGTAAGGGATCCGGTTTCATTTTCTGTATTTCAATTCAAGGTTTTATTGGAATAGGCAAATACCTATAGAATACCTTCGCTTTCGTATAATTTATAATTAATTACCTGGCATAAGATATTGCAAATTTAATTGTTCTTCTTTCTCCCGTTCACTTCTTAGGCAAACAGCAGCTCCCGATAGCAATATGGCAGCCAGAAGACAAGAACCTACACCGGCCCATGCAACAATATATGACCAATCATATGTAATTTTGGTATTGTCTCTTAGTACCTGTGGGGATGAAGACAGAATGAAAATGTCGAAGTACATTAAGGCATAAATGAAGTACTTACGGTAGTCCATTGCTGATAGTAGTCTTCTCCGACAACTTTCTCTTTTTCAAAGAACTCAACAGTATGCCAGAGACCCATAGCACCGGCGGCAAG